TGTGCAGCCATTTTACTATTGAAGATGGAAGAAAATATGCAACATTTTTGGTGTATTATGATTTAGTATTTCAAGAAAGGGAAAAAACACAACTGAAATGCAAAAAAAAAAAGATTTGTGCAGTATAGGGAGAAGGTGCTGTGACTGAACGAACGTGTCAAAAGTGATTTGCAAAGTTTCTTGGTTCTACTGACATTTCGGCCAAATAATTCTTTGCTATGGGGCTCTCTTATGCATTGGAAGACGTTTAGCAGCACCCCTGCCCCCTACCCACTGGAGGCCAATAGCAAGAGATAGCCGACATACTCAAAATATCCAAATCAATAAAGTTATTGGTGAAAATGAAAAATTTGTCTTTTATTTTACAGAAAAATCTAAACAGACTTTTTGGCCAACCCTATAACAATGCCATTGGTCTGGGGACCATACTTTGAGACCCACTGACCCAGTAATTTAGGAGTATGGGTGTTTGAATCCAACACAGCTGAGTTCCAGCTCTAGTTCTGCCACTTGTATGACCCATGAAAAAGCCACCCAAACTCTCTGGACCTTAGTTTGCAACATCTAAGTTATGAGGAAAAAAGAACCAAATACCCCTCCAGCATTAGTTTAGCCAAGGACCTGGCACATTCTAAAGCAAGTGCTTAGTAAAAACTAGCTACATCCTATACCAAAGTTTCCTTAGTTTTTTTTCTTTTTCCACATACATTAGAATGGCTAAAATTCAAAAAAAATCAGACAAGATCAAAGATTAGCAAAGATGTGGAGCAAACGGAACATTTATAGCAGCTTTATTCATCTAGCTATTATTCAACAGCCAAAGTATGATAAACGGTCCAAATGTCCATTGATGAGCAAAAACATAAACAAACTGCCCTGACTGGTATGGCTCAGTGCGTTGGGTGCCATCCCGCAAAGCAGAAAGTCATTGGTCAGAGCACATGCTTGGGTTGCAGGCCATGTGACCTGACAGAGAAAACCAATCCATGTTTCCTTTACATATCAATGTTTCTCTTCCTCTCTCTCTAAATAATAAATAAATAAAAATCTTTAAACACACACACACACACACACACCCTGACTGGTATGGTTCAGTGGGTTGGGCATCGTCCCACAAACTGAAAAGTCCCCAGTTAGACTCTGGGTCAGAGCATATGCCTGGGTTGTGGGCTGGGACCTTGGTTATGAGTGTGAGGAGCAACAGATCAATATTTCTTTCATACATCAATGTTTCTGTCCCACACTCAATAAATAAATAAAGTCTGTAAAATATATATATATACATATACAAATTGGTATGCATATATAAGGGAATACTACTTGATAATAAAAAAGAACAATGATGCACACAACCATATGAAATCTCCAAAAATATTTTGCTGAGTGAAAAAAGCCAGACACAAAGAGTACATGCACACTACATTATTTCATTTGCATGACTTTCAATAATGAATGAAAGTAATTCATAAGTGGGGAAAATATGTTGATGGAAGGAAATGTGACTTGGAGTGGTGGACACACAATACAATATACAGATGATGTATTATAGAATTGTTTCTCTGAAACCTATATAATTTTTTTAAAATTTTTATTTACTTTTAGAGAGAACGGAAGAGAGGGACAGAAACATTGATGTGATGTTGCCTTTCACAGGCCCCTAACTGGGGACCTGGCCCACAACCAAGGCATGTGCTCGGACCAGGAATCCAACCAGCGACCCTTCTGTTCACAGGCTGGCTCTCGATCTGCTGAGCCACACCAGCCAGGGCCAAAACCTATACAATTTTATTAACAAAGGCCACCCCCAATAACTTCAACTTAAAAAAATAAAAAATAATATCAAAAACAAGTAACTGATGGTGGAAGAAATCAAACAGCCTTTTCCTCTCGAGGACGTGGGGGGAACTGACTGGAGAAGAACATGAGGGAAATTTCTGGGGTTCTATATCCTAACCTGGGTGAGTGTAACATGAGCATATAAATGGGCAAAATTCAGCAAATCATATACTTAAGATTGTGCATTTACCATAAGTAAATATATAAAGTATGCATATATGCTTTATTATATGTAAAATAACATTTATATAGCATATATACACACACACATATATATAAATTGTTGTAGGTACTTTGTGACAAAAGCCTATCTTCTCCCTTTAAAATGAATCAACTCCAACCTGGTGGATCCATTTAGCTTGACTCCTTCACAATCCAATCGTGCTTCATGTAATACCATTTCCTATAGATTATTTTGGTGTGTGCATCATTCCAGAGGCCTGTCATTACACAGAAACAGCAGAATTTTCTCCCAGAAGAAGACCATGACATTTCAATACAGATAGCACCCACAGTGACCCATGTCCCTGGGAGTAGCTAGCTCAGGAGGCAGACAACACCAAAGTAACATTTTCTTTTACTATGTACCAAGTAAGAGTCTATCTAACATGATTAAAACACAGTAATGACACAGTAAGAGCAATGCTGTCATAATTTAAATTATATTGTCAATGTAAAAGAGGGAACAGAAGACCAGTGAAATGCTTTCTAGTGCCATGTTTCTGTAATGAAAATGTTAAAGAGCTAACTATGTCCATGTAATTATCATGTGAAATAGTAGCTTTCATTTTGTAGTGGATTCCAGGCCGTTGGAGTGTCTCCATCCACATCTTTATTCTATCCCACTACAAACAGGTCAAGTTGATTTACACACACACACCTGATGTGAACACTCCTGTGCAGCACAAAGGTTCTGAGGAAGGGAAATAACATAACACTTGGAGACACTACCATTTCCTTCTGGCCCAGAGATGTCTGACTCCAAAAGCACTTGATTATCTGACCAACGCTTCCTAAGTTCATTGACAAGGCAGCCCTGGGACAATGCCTCTGAGATCTTTGATAACTGGTGGAAGAGGCTCAGCACATGTAGCATCTTGATGTGGAACACCAGCTCCCACACAAAACCCAATGGACACATGGAGTCCCCCACTAGATGGTACCCCTGGCTGTCTTTCCTCCAGCCCTTTCTCCAGAAATGGCTCTGAACTGAGACCTATAGCTGCTCTCATCAAATGATTTTACAAAGTATTTCCTCTAAAGTTCCAACAAGAAACTCATAAGCCAGGTTTCTAACACTGAAAGCTAGGCTTAGAAATAAATAACTGCTCAAATTCAATTTAAATATAACAATAACAGCTAATTTTTATTGAGCACTTACTACGTGCCAGGCACTGTTCTGCATACTTTCCACTTATTAGTTTATGAAACAACCTCAAGAAAGCCAGTTTACAGCTGGCTATGAGGACACAATCTCTAGTGAGGCAAGGGACTGGCCCTTAAGCAAAGTCTGGGGAGATAACCAATGAATGAAGCACTCTTTCCTTTGGTGAACTTACTACCTTGTATGCAACTGAGGCAAGAGGAGATCTAACTCACCGTTTAGAATAAAGAAAAACTACAAGATACACATTTATGGGACCCCAGAGAAAGAAGGATTTGTTCACCCCAGCTGGCTGCTCTAGGGCTCCTTCTTAAAGGAGGTGTCCAAGTGGAAACTGAGGACATAAATGGAAGGAGCTTTCCGTAGCTAAGTGTCAGCCCCTCAGCTCCCAAAGCTAAAAAGCCAGGTCTACTCCACCTGGTCTCCTCTGTCACCTGCAACAGGCCAGTTTCCAAGGCAGGACCAGCCAGCCCTTTTTCCCTTAGACATGTTCCTCCAGCTGCTGTTGCCCCTGCAGACCAGGCACACATGGGAACTTTTCACCACATTCTGTCACCTCCGCCAGAGCTTTTAAGGAGAGGAACTGCGTCATGGCACTGGATAGTACCAGGCAGGCCTTTACTGCTGATACAGGGTCAACCCCCTGCCTGCACCAACTGAGATGTAAAGGACTCCCCATGACCCTCAGCCATCAAAGAGGCAATCACTCCACTACACACTTGAGAGGAATTTGCTTCCACTCCCTCCTCACAAGTCACCCCCTCCCCTCCCCAAAGGTCAGCTCCCCACCTTTTCCTCCTCAGTGCTTAAGGCTATGCAGCAGGGCTCAAACCCTCATTTCGGTGTCTGTGTGATGTTAGACAAGTAACCTAACCACTGTCAGTCCCAGTTTCTTTATCTGGAATATGGGATTTATAAGAACAACTCGCCCTCAGGATTCTTGTGACTCAGAACAAGATAATGCAAGAAACGACTTTTACAGTCTAGTATGCAGTAAGTTAACAATAAAATAGTGATTACCCTTATCACCATCATTGATGGTGACGACGGTGCTTGGTGCCTATAGTAGTGGTAGCATCGACTGGGGCTTGGTTCGAGCTAAGTAAGAAATACCCCTCCTCTCCCTCCCCCAGTCCACCGCCCCCCTGCCCCCCCCCCCCCGCGCCTTGGTGCTGAACTGCACCGAGGAGACACATGCGTCATCCAGCTGTGGGGTGAGTGCAGTATCTTCAGGAGGCTGGCTCAGGAACATCCGGTACCCCGACCCACCTGGAGGGTTGCAGGGTAAAAACGATTTTCTAATGGAGGAGGTACAACAATCATAGATCCTCTCCTCGTGCATACCCATTCTCTAGGTATGGACACAGACAATTGGCAAAAGAACGCAGCACTGCGCCTGCTGCAGCGCTCCCCCCGCAAAGGAGCCAGGAGAGCCTCCACTCTGCCCCAGCCTCAGTTCCCCAACTCTCCTCCAGGCGCAGGCGTAGCTGCGCTACACTTGGTGGCTGAGATAACAGGTTGGCAAAACGGCCGAGGAAAAGTGCCCCCGCTCCCCAGCACAAATCCAACCTTTTCTTCCCAACACAGGTGGGCAAACTACCAGCAACCTCTCCACAACTTTGTGTATTTAACCTACCATCGGGTGCGCAGCCTCAATTTCCCCCCTAAGCTGCGCTCGGAGGAGCGAAGAGGGAAATCGAAATGGGGGTTGGGAGGAGGGAGATACTCTGCAGGCCGCTCCCCTTTTCTGGAAGCAAACCTGAGGTGCGTCCCGTCTTACCTTGTCTGACGGCTTTGAAGGTGACGGACTCCTTGCAGCTGTCGATGACTCCCAGCACGTCATAGCGGGGCAAGCCGGAGACCCGGATCCCCTGCACTTCCAGAATCAGCTCCCCCTCGCCCAGCCGGGGGCCCTCGCCGCTGCCTGGAAGCCCTGCCGCCTCGGCCGCTGCTACCGCTCCAACATACAGAAACTCCCCATTCTCCGCGCCCCCCAACACCGTTACCCCCAGCTCGCCCTGAGGTCCCAGCTTCACGGTGCATTCGTGAACCTTACTAGTCCAGTGGTTCTTCTTCTGGATCACTTTCGACATGACGAGTTATATCCCTCCTCCCCCCCCAAAAAAAATAATAATAAAATGAGAGACAGGTGTCCCCCAACAGCGCAGCCCCCAAACCCCCGCTGGTTCATGGGAGAGACATCTTCCTCCAAATAACGCAAAGAGAGAGAGAAACTTGGCAGCCTTTCTCCCCTGCACACGCTCGCGCACTCAAGCCATCATAAAACAAACTTTCTGGGCTTCCTCGCGAGCCCTGCACCGGCGCCCGCGAGCTTTGTTTGCATTCCGGTGCTTCTCGGTCCACGTTCTGGCGCCGGATCGTGCTCCTCGGGACCAGAGTCCACTCTGCGCCGCTTGTGTTATATTTTTTTCCTTCCTTCTTTTCTTTCTTGCCTCTTAAAAATGCAAAGGCTCCTCTTTACCTCCAGCCTGGCTCTCCTGTCCTCGCTGGCAAGCTGTTCCCGAGGGTGAGGGAAGCCCTTCCAGCCAGTTGCTGGGAGCCCTGGAGACGCTGTTGCAGAGTGGGGGTGGGGGTGGGGGACAGGAGGGAAGTGCCTGCGGCCCCTTTAAGCAGATACAAAGGCTGGGCTTGTTTTGTTACAATTCATTCTATTCCGCGCCGCTGAGCGCAGCGGCCGGCCACAGGAGACGCGCGCGCATGCGCCCCGCGACTGCCTGCCGGCCAGCCCGCCCGCCCCACCCCTTCTTCCCAAAGAGCTAGATTCCAATGTGCTTCCCTTTGGGTCCTAAAACCGACCCTCCAGAGGAAGGCTAGTTACCTTCTCTCTCACACCCCGCTTATTCCTCCCTTTCTTTCAGTGCCCTGGACGCAGCAAGTCCCTCTGGAGCTAGGAAGACGAGCACGTGTTTTACTCCAGCTATTTGCAACTTTTGAAACAGGTTAATCTGGCTTTGGCATTTTAAAACCATTTCAAACAGGTGGGGGTTGGGGGAGGTTTACACCTTACCCTCACACTCACTCACTGTCCCCGGCTAAGCCTCCTAATCGCCTTCGGCCTGTAGGCTGGCCCTGCTTGTCCGCCGCCCCGCCCCCACACGCACCCCACGCCCCCGCCACATTTCCCTCCAATACCCCTGTGCCCTACTTGGAGGCCTGCGTGTGCTCGTGCCGATGCAGCGCAGGAGGGTTCGGGTCCTGGAATTGGGTCTTGCCCGTGTCTACGGCTAGAGGAAGTGGGGGTTGCGGGGGTCCTCTGGAACCGCGTCGCACAATACCACACACAGATATCCGCACCCTTAAACTCTGGGGTCAACTTTTTAAGACAGGGAAAACTATAGACGAGGGAAATAAGCCAGATGGTGATAGTGGGTTGGGGGCTTTTTAAATGCCCTTCCAGAAAAGACTTCTGAAGTCAGTCATCTCTACCCCCAAGTTAAGTTTCTGGCTGACTCTGAAAGGCTGCGGACCCGCTCCAGGGCCAGGAGATAAAGATCACCCCCGGGCTTGGGATCTGCACCCACCTCCTGGCTCCCGCGGGGGCGGGGGCGTGTCAACCACCTCTTGAAATTTGCAGCCCCGGGGTGGGTATCGCCTTGGGGCGGCGGGGAGGTGGGGAGGGGTACAGTGAGAGTCTGTCCAGAGCTGGGGAGCTGCCGGCAAAGAATACCCTGCCCCCGAAGTATTCGGGGAGACCCGAATACTCCCCAAATCGGCCTGGGCGGTACATTTTCCCAAGCAAAATTTTTCCTCAGTGATTTATAAGTTATTTATTTATGTTTGGTAACAGGAGAGAGTCCAAGTGCTCAATAAAGGAAGTGAGTGGAATGGACTCTTAGAAGGGTGGGATGCTGCAGCAGCCGGGGTTGAGATCTGAGTTTAGGTTCTCACTGGTCCAATCTCTCTGTGTCCTTGAGGGAGATCCTTAACCCCGGGAGCCTTCGTTTCTTACGTTAAGTGAGCATAACAAAACCTCACATGGTTTCTAGTAGTATACATGCGTGAACATTTGTAAAGTGCCCAGCATGTAAAGTGAATACTTTTTAAGTGGTATATAATAAAAACTGATACTATTAGTAGTAGTATCACAATATATGGAAAGTGAATTGGAAAATCACTTGGGGTTTCAAATTAGATGATGATGATAATTCTTCCTCTCCTTTCTAAAGCTTAAATTAGTATTTAGAAATACATTTAAATATTTTTAAAGCACTGGTTGGAGGGTACTACCTAAGCTAATCAATAGAAGGGAAGAATGTTGCTGTTTCTCTCAAGATATCCAGAACTGAAAATTCCCTTCCTTTGTAGTATTTGTCAAAGGAGGATCTGGCCAGTTTTTCTTGGCTCTTCTTGGTCAGGAAAATATTTCCATCCTCTTCTCAGAAGCAATCAGTTTATCTCACACCTGACTGGATCAAAATGAGTGGGAGCTTCAAAATATTCCTTCCCAAGCCCAAACAACCGTCCAGCTCATCAGAAACTGAGGACTTTTAACGTTCCCCTTACGTGGTGCTGATACACAACATTGAGGACCACAGATCTAGCATTTTGATTCCTGAATGTTATTTACATCACAGATGCTTTTGGAGAATAAACCTGTTGCACATCTTCCTCTAGAGTGTAAGTTCCAGGAGGGCAGGGAACATTGGCAATCTGGTTTATTGATATATTCCTATTTCCTGGAACTGTGCTTGGTATCTAGTTAATGAACAATTTTGTTGAATCGAACCCCCCACAAAAAAAGCACATTTTTGCATACCACCTGAGAGTGGAGTCATAGATTCCTCTACAAATCACTAGTAAACATGAAAGCTTACTTCTCCACCACTCCATATTCTAGTAGTCTGATTGCTTGCCAAGGAATCCCCCACCTGCCTAGAACTGGTGGTCTCCTCTCTGTTTCCCCAGTATACTCTTGCTCCCACCAGCAGGAGTCCAAAGGATGGGTGAGACCAAGTGTTCTGTGATTCCTCCCACTGCACAACATCATCTTCCCTCTCTAGGACTGCAGCTGTCCTGTAGCTGAAAAGGAGAAAAAACTTGGTATTTGTCAGAGTTCAGATTTTAGATGTGGAATAACCCCAAGAAGGAATATCTGAGGGTACAAGGGCAGGACAGAGAGATACACAGAGAGACATATTAGAATCCAAGAACATAAGTATGTTGATGTTCCAAAGCAGCTAAGACTGCCAATGTTCAGGTACTAAGTTTTTGAAAACTCCCCTCCTCTGACCTTTTCTGTCTACTCTGTTTCACCTGGTCTATTTCCTGTGTCCCATTATCCAAAGCAACTTCAGGGCAGAAATATATGTCCAATTCAACCTTTCAATTCTTAGCACCTAAACCCATGCTTTGTGTGGAGTGTGCACCATACGTATTTGTTGAATGAATACATGAGGACATAGATGAAGAGTGACATTACACTTCAGAATATGTGGCCTTTGATACAAAGCCTAGTTAGATTTGGTGGCTAGATCCAAAGGTATTTACAGATTGTTTTCTTGAAAGAACTTACAGTTATCTCATTTTTAAGTAGATTGTTCTTGAAAAGATGTGAAGTGGGATCCTAGTGCTCTGGCTTCTCTCACTTAGTCTATGACTTTGGTAATACATTCCAATGGGGAAAATAATGCCATAAAATACCAAACTTTGAAGCTTACCATGTGTGCCAGGGTAGTTATGTGAATTATTTCATTTAATCATCACAACAACTGTGTAAAGTAGGTATGACCTTGATCTTACATAAATGACCTTGATTTTACAATTGAGGAAAGTCAAGCTAGGGAAATGAAAAAACTTGCCCAAGAGCTTGGAAGTAACAAAGCTAGGACGTCAACCCAGAGGCATGACCCAAAACCTGTGCCCAGAACACTGTACTATGAGAGTGTTGGATGTGGCCTGCTGCCATGTAGCATATTTGGCTAATAGTATTTCTTTGATTCTTGAATGTGTCACAGTGTGGGCACATTAAGTTTCTTTCCTATCTCTTCCCTTTAATGTGAACGAATACAGTGTTCCACTCAGGAATCCAATCTCCTGTTCCCCACCTGTGGGCTCTGAAGATTGAATAATTTACTGGAATGTAAGTGGGATTAATTTACAAACATTTCTAAAGTGTTTGGAGATCTATAGGATGTGGTACTGGTGATGTGCTAAACATTCTTATACTCATGACATTAGCATTTCAACAATGAACTTTCAATAAGCACGGTAGATTGAGATAAGAACTAAACCATATAACTCTACACATAAAACCTTATTTTCATATAGCCAGTTTCACTAAGGGGAAGAGAAAAACCCATGAATATAAACTGTGCATTTCTTCTCTTTTCCCAAATACGTTTCTTCTCAAAGTTCTCCATTTGTGATTAAAGAAATTTATATTTGCAGTCTTAAGTGGTGGTTTTACCTCATTTTTCTGAAAATGTGAGTATGGAAAATAAGTTGGTGAGCTGTGAGGCAAAGAAGAACACATAAATTGGTTATCATTTCATGATTTTTCTGGAAAATGACATTAAAAGGCATATATTATAGATATCAATGAAAGTATGTTGTACGGTAACTAACTCCAAACTGGTAATTTAGAAAAAGAGGAGCCTGATGTCATTAGTTCAGATAGAAGGTAAACGACAGGCAGTGAGGGCATTTTTATGATTCACTTGGTAATTTGTTCTGTACCTCACAAGAGGCAGATGGGTAGTTTTCTCTGACTACAGTATTTCTTTCTCCTTTTAGTACTTTCAGCTAGGCAAGAATAAATAAGATCTTAATTCTTATGACCTTCCTAGACAATACATGTACACTATTATTTTAATACCCCCGAGAAGGAACTCCAAGAAGAGAATTTAATCGTGACTTATGTTCTGTTTCACTTCCATGGGAGAAATGAATATTGGTAACTAGAAGATTTGAAATTTTAGAAACCCAAGAATTTATTATGAGAATCTCTCCTAAAATTTCCCAAATGATTAAGCTGCATAAAATACTATGTATTCCATCCTGGCCTGGTAGCTCAGTTGGTCGGAGGACTGTCTAGATGCACCAGGGTTGCAGTCAATTCCAGGCCAGGCACATCAAGAGTCAATCAGTGAGTGCATGGATGCCTGTATCAATGGATCCATACTTCTCTGTCTCTCTAACTCAATCAATAAAAAATAAAAAACCCTCAGGGGAAAAGGGAAAGGGTTTGCAGGAACAAGTATAAAGGACACATGGACAAAAACTAGGAGTGGGTGGAAATAGGAGGGAGATGGGGAGGGATGGGTGGGTGGGCTGGGATGGGAGTAAAGGACAGAAAACTGTACTTGAACAATGATTAAAATAAAATTTAAATTTTTTTAAAAAGTTAAAGCAAAAAAACACAATGAAACCTATGTATCCCATATTAGTTATCCTGTGTAATTCTACTGAAAATGTATTTATTAATCTTGTTAATTTTCTTGAGAACGGGACATTTGTTTTTTCTTGATCATAGACTTTTGTATCCCTTTTATTCCATTTCTCACCAACTCTATGACAATACAGTCATTTGAACATGATAGGTGCTTAAAGAATACAGGATTTTCACCCTGGCTGGTGTAGCTTGGTGGATTGAGCATAGGCTGCAAATTAAAGGGTCACTCATTCAATTCCCAGTCAGGGCACATGCCTAGGTTGCAGGCCAGGTCCCCAGTGGGAGC